TGTTTGACAGTTAGTTGACAGCTGTCAACTGTCAATATCGAATTGTTGACATCAGTTTTGAACTTACCAACCTCCAAAACAGATATTTACATGTGGATTTGATCAATTTTGATCATTGCTTGTTGTTTGACAGCTAGTTGACAGCTGTCAACTGTCAATAATATTATATTGGCATTGGATTTGAATGCAGCGACCCCGAAAACATAAGAAGGTACTTCTTTTTTAACGCAGCAAATACTAAACTTTCGAGGAAATTGCCTTTATAAGTATTAAATAATGGTCAATCCGTGGAGCTTTGGAGCTCCGGAGGAGCCAAAATAAGCAAAATTGAGCTTTGTGCCCATTGAGGCTTTTTCTCAGGATGCCGAAACAAACAACATATTCAAATTTCAGCCAATTTGACCGGGAGCCAATTTCCATAAGATTTGTGCGGGGTTCTTTCGAAACGTAGGTCGGGCGCGCTCTTTTTCCATCTACACCATAACAGCACATTACGCTCGTACCACTCACCTCTTAACTACTACAGACAATTATCCTTCTTCCATGCTACAGACTACAGACAAAGTGGTATTCGTAGTAACACATTCCATGCGCATGCGCATGCCGGCCCGTAAATATACAACAAGAAGACGAAGCAACACTTCTCGTAGGGTGGCGGCTTCGCGGTCATCAGAAAATAGCAACCCATACCTGGCTACGACAACCGGCATGGACTCCAACGGCCTGGACACAGTTCAAATTGAATACACCTTCATTCAATGTCAAATGTACTATTTAAAAGGAGGTGATTGTTAACAGGTCATCCATTTATATTATAATATTGCAATGAAAACTCAAACTTCATCATTATTCTTACACCTATAAGGGAAAGGTATTTTTAGAAAAACTAATAACTACACTATTCCTGTATGGTTTATTTGAAAATGAATGATAGCAAAATTGTATAAAAATATAGACCTTTTCCATAAAAACTGTGCTATCAAGCATTTTCTAATAAACTATAGTGATAATTTGATTTAATAGAGTGTGTAAGATCACACCTGTCAGAGCAGTGGTCGCCAACCTCTCAATGTGTTGAGCTACTTTGTTAATTTTGGAATAAACAGCGAGCTACCCACACGGAAGCCACGTAACGCAACGTAAATGAAATAATCCACAGTTAATTTATCATTATATGTATTTATTTTACTATTTAACTGGTAATACATAATACATAGATACTAATAATAAACTAATAACAAAATAACTAATATTACTAGTACGTACTTGTTCATAGCTACATTCCTACCTACCAAACGAAGGTGTTTGAAAAATAAACACAAACTTTTATCCAGCCACAACGGCATGTCACGAAAGATTTAAAAATAGTTAATAATAACAACAAAAAAGTAACGCACTATCATGAACATAAACATTGAAAAATAAAAAAGCACGTTCAATAAGAAGGCTGACACTCAGACTCATCGATAATTTTTTAATGTTTGCAGTATAATTTGATACAGCCATTCGAATACAATTATCCAAATGTTCATCTGTAAGTTGATTGCGATATCTGTTCTTAATAAACTTCATATTGGAAAAAGAAGATTCACACAAATAGGTTGAACTGAATAATGCTTTTACTTTCAAGGCAACACGGCATAGAACTGAATATTTGTCTTTACTTACAATAGGCCAGATACATTTGGTACTTGAGACTAATGATTTTAAGGCTAAATCATTTTGAAACTCAATTACTTCCATTTCTGTTGCAGCGATGTCTTCGCCAAAGTTCTGCATAACACAAGTTGCAAACTGTTGGATATCAATTTCCATAAAGGGTGAAACAACAAACTGCGCTACTAAAGCCATTTCATTGAAATCCTTAAAACGATTTTTGAAGTTATTCTTCAGGGTAGAAACTATTTCTACATGATATTTGCTGTCATAGGGTTCTAATGGATTTTGAGATATTTTTTTCTGAAAGAATAGGAAAATGCTTGGGCATCGTTGTTAATTAGGTTTTGTTCCCAAAACTCCAGCTTTTTGATAAATGCTTTTATATCAGAAATCATTTCCGCTAGTTCTTTGTCTCTCCCCTAAAGTTGCAAATTAAGTTCGTTTAATTTCTCTGTAATGTCCACGAGAAAACCAAAATCTCTAAGCCAGATTGAATTTTCTAGTTCCGGAGTCGGTTCATCGCGTTGTTTGAAAAATCGAACTATGCCAGATAGGACATCATTAAAACGTTTCAGCACCCGTCCTCTACTTAACCATCGGACTTCAGAGTGGCCATATTGACAGTCAACTTCATCGGCCAAGATTTTGAATAATCTTCTTTTTAACGCTTGAGCTCTAATCTTGTTCACAATTTTTACCACCAGTTTCATAACGTTGTTTAGTTTCAGGCAATTTCCATATAATGCTTGCTGATGGATAATGCAGTGGTAACAAATAAATTGCGGAAAAGTTTCATCTTTACGACATAACGCCACCAGACCCTTATCACAACCCACCATAGCTGGAGCGCCATCGGTTGTCAAGCCTCCCATTTTCGATATTGGAATTTTCTCGGAAGAACTAATATTTTTTAAATGAGAAAACAACTCCTATCCAGTAGTGTGTCCTTTCAGTGAAATAAACTTCAAAAGATCTTCTTTAATCGTAAAATCACTAAAAACCATCCTGACGAACACGGCCATCCGGGCAGTTTCAACGACATCTGTTGATTCATCCAGTTGAAGTGAAAAATAAACACAGTTATATAAGTCAGTTCTTAACTGTAAAAAAATATCATTGCTCATTACTTCTACACGTCTCATCACTGTATTAGCAGAAAGTTGCATAGATTTTATAGCTGAAACTATCTCGCCTTTATTTATAAAGTTGGCAAATAACGAATCAGCAGCTTCTAAAAACGCCTGTTTTATCATTTCCCCGTCTTCATAAGGTTTCTTTTTTTGTGCAATTATCTGGGACACACGGTACGATACTTCAGTTGCAGCCTTATTTTTGTCGACTGTTCTTAAAAATATTGATTGTTGTCCAATTAACTGCTTTTTTAACTGTTTCAGTTTCTCCTTTCTGGCGGCAGAATGTAGTGGGAATGATTTTTCAAAATTAGAATGTACAATTTGATGATGTCTCTCAATATTTCCTTTTTTAGCAACGGAGACCGAAGTATTGCATAACAAACACATTTTTATCTTTAACTTCTGTAAAAAAGTATTGTTCTTCCCATTCCGAATGAAAGTGGTATGTCTTTACCTTACCTTACCTTACAACTGCTTGCTATAATATTATTTTTTATTGTTCTCTACTAACCCAACCGCTGGACGTTGGTTACGCGTTCAGTTTTAAACTAAGCGCAATGTTGCCGCGCCGTGCGTAATTATCCCGTTCAAAGCAATCCTGATCGTTCTCGAACACTAACGCGCTGGTCCGGCTGGTCGGTTCTAGCCGATTCTAGCTTGATGGCATCAGTGGCAGATCGCTTACCGCAACGTTGCCGCTGTCTATGTTTAATATTATGACAATTAGATTTTTTTGTAGAATTTTCGGAAGCTTCTCTGATTTTTGCAGTTTGTATTTTTTAAATTAAAATCGTTGTGAGAGCTACCAGAATTGCCTCCGCGAGCTACCGGTAGCTCGCGATCGACAGGTTGGCGACCACTGTGTTAGAGTAATTCGGGCATAGGGAAGAGAAGATATAAAGCAGGTACGCAAAGTCATTGCAAAAGATAAATATATAGAAGAAAATGCAGTTGTCGCTATGGGAGATCCAATCAGCAAAAAATAAAAATAAGCTTTGGGAATATTGAAAAAGGGCACAGCAATAGACCCGAAAGAATTCTTTGTTTTTTTTATAAATTTAATTTTGTGAGATGCAAAAAATACTGCCCGAGTGGAGAAGCAGTATTGTTCCAATATACAAAACACAGGGATATACGACAACGCACCAACTATAGGCGAATAGTCAGTGAATCATACAATAGTTCCATCTCGATTTTATTACATGTAATAAAATAAAATATAAAACATACAAACTAATAGCGACTATTTAGAACGGAACTAATCTGACCAAAAGATGTAGAATAAAGTATCGCAACGGTTTTTAAAAATTACGATTTTTATACCATTTCTTTGGCAGTATATACCCAAAAGTGTACTAAATTACTAAACTAATGCATTCAAATAGTTCTTTAAATAAATAAATTAAATCTCACCAAGAAAGGTTAAAAAATTCAAGTAATTTGATATATCTATATTGTGTTTAAACTCATGTTGTTTAATAACAATTAATAAATAGGGTGTTAATATTAATAATAATTTTGTTGCCAACAACTTTCCTTTCATAAATTAAATTAATAATTAGATATGTGACATTTATAACTAATATTCATTCACCCAAAAGATAAAAAAAAAACATTTTGTTTAATAACATTAGATGACGGGATGGTAATATTAATAACTTTATTTCCAACAATTTTCTTTCTACATAGCAATTTACAATTTACATTATGCGTCAGGTACCTTAATAAGTAAAGGTAATATAAAAAAATAACCCCACTAAAAAAATTTAAACTAAACAATTATGAGACCATGTTCCTATGATCAACCTTATCCAAATATAGATATATTATCCAATTGCTCTTGGTTATTCAAAACATGAACAGAAATATATTCAATTAAGCATAAGTTAATAACACCGGCACACAAAAAAAAAAGTTGTCAGTAATTTTGACGGAACCGGTATATCTTTATGTATTTCGACCCCCTGAATCCGAATCTGAGGTCCGTTTGACCCGTACACCGTCTTCGACAAAACTTTAAAAAACCTACAAAAATGGCGAAAATCGGCAGTTTCTCTCTTTATTACCTAGTCTAAGGTAATAACTAAACTTGCGCCGATTCTGCCTTGTCAGTAGTGCCAACTTTCAATTTTACGCATGATGGCACCAATCATATTGGGGCTTAAAATTTTTTCACGATGCGGTATCTAGAGTTAGAGCTATGGTTAGATCTTGAATCACCAACAGAACAACAACGACAAAAAGTCAGTGTAACGTCAAATGTCAGTTTATTTACTGTCGAAAGTTTTACTTCTAATTTAAAAATGTCGAACCCTACAAAACGTCCTCTTCACTTCCCACCATGGCACATTCCATATTTGGAAAAACACCGCATTTACGAACTGTTCCACGAACTAGCCAGAGAACTAATTATCAAACAACCAGATGACCATTTACTCTTTATAAAACAAATACTAATGAATGCAGCTAAGAGCAGAGACGTGGCAAGAGTAATTTTTTTACCTGCTCCGAAGATAAATCTACTTGAACTAAGCGAAGAAGTGTCTAAAGTAACCAAACAGGTTATAATTACGAAACAGGCCATTTCTAATTATGCTGGCAGAGATATGATCGAGCTTTCATCTGAATTATTTGCTAAATGTTTATCGTATTTAGTGCGAAAAGAAAATTGCTACATGCAAGGCTGGATTATGATGGATTGCATGAGAAACGAAGAAGACGCAAAGCAGCTTCTGAAGCTTGGAATTATCCCAACTCATACATTTCAATTTATAGCTCCGTTTCACCCGAATCTGGAAGATATCTACTACTGTAAGGTACCCCCTAACTGGCCAGAACAGAGACGATTGATATCAAATTTGCGAACAGTTTATAAGAATACCTTATTAGAAGTACACGTTGGTCACCGTCAGATTCCAGAGATTGCTGCAGAATGCGTAAATATTTCCAAAATTCGCAAAGCCGTCAAACAAATAAAACCTAGAGTACTCATCATAGGACCGATCGGATCAGGTAGGAAGACTCAAGCTGAGCTACTAAGCTACAGCTTAAAGCTGGTACCGATTGATTTCGAATATTTGCTTTGCCAAACGTGGATTTCGCCATCAGAGCTTGGAGAAAAACTTAGAGAATGCAGGAACGAAGCTTGTTTTCATTCCGAACTTTTAGCTCAAGTTGTTAACAAGAGAGTACTTGAAGAAGACTGCATTTTGAACGGATGGGTTCTAACTGGTTTTCCATTTACCGAATACGATTTCAAACATCTGGATTCGATTGATACTCCTCCGAACAGAGTGATTTTTTTAGAATGCGATTTGAATCTCTGTAGAGAAAGACTTCGCAACAAGAGATTTAACGTTGTAACTGGATCAGTCATTGATATCGAAAAAAATCCTGCTGCAGCTGAAGAGAAACAATTAGCGATTCATCCCAGGAACAACATTCTTTTAGTCGATGCTGAGTTAGACTTTTACTGTCAAAACTACGGATCGTTGAGGAAGTACTGTGGAAGCACAGCTAGTGTCGTTAATGGAGATCTAAACGAAAGGGCTATCCATGAATATATAATCGCGATCATATTGAGGGCACCTCCTGCAGGTGATCCTAGAAAGGGGATCACGGAAGAGGATCAAAAGACGTCATCATCAGGGTCATCTGATGTGTGTGATTGTCCCGTTATAGCGTCCAAAGTTATGGATTGTTTTATTAAAAGGGGCGAAATAAAATATTAGTAATTATTGTTTCTGTTTTTGGTTATATGAACTAGAAAGTAAAGTCTGCAGTTCTTAGAGTTATTAGTGTACTTGTCATTCAAAGTGTGGTGGAGATACGTTAATGAATCTAGGGGCCACTGAATTGATTCGGTAGGCTTAGGAAAAACAAGTCTATAAAGACTGAAAACTGCAATGTGGAAGAGGATGAACGCAATGTGGTGCCGTACAGTTTGTATTACTTCTTATGTAGATATACTAAAGCTGCGATTTCACTATGAAGCTATAATAAATATAGCTTCATATTTATATATAGTATTAGCCATCATTTTACGATGAGCGGTGCTATAAGAAATTTTACAGCTTTGGTTAGTAGGTTAGGTCAATTTCACTACTAGATTGTATGTGTTGTTTTTCTGAAGATGCCAATACATCTCGTGGCTTGTTAATGGATTTGGTGGACAGCTCATCTGAAGATGAAGCTTATGAATTTTATATTTATGGCCCCTAATTACAGAATAAAAAAAAGTTTTAGTTAACTACTTATTACTTAAGGTACTATTACTTAAGGTAACCTGTAAGCTAACCTTAAAAAACATCCACTGTAACAACACAATGCACAACGAACTTTAAAGAAACATAGGATATTCAAGGACGCAAAACGGAAAGCATATTTCGTTGCCGTAGATGTCAAGACTGCGAGGCCACAAAATCTTAATTTCGAGAAAACGGCTTGCAAAAGATTATGTGACAGAAAATTTTAACATTTTTACGCTAAATTTTCTTGTTTTCAAAGATAGAATGTTAAAATTTTGAATACACTTGATATTTTCTTTTTATTGCGTTAAGAAAAGTGATAAAAATGTATTACTTTTGAAAATATGTGTGTTATACCTTTTGACCACTAATAAATTAAATATACTCTGCATTGCATGTAGGGTTTAATTATTTCCATCACTCTGACTGCCTTCATTTTCTGAACTGCTATTTTTTCAGCAGGACCGTCTTCAGCTCGGTCTTCAGGTTCCAACTTTTTCTGATAGAAGTCATGATAAGTGGATGGAATGCTACTTCCCTGTCAAAGTTTTAACAGGTCATTCAGTTTTTTCGGTCTATTTTCGGTTGGTCGCAGTACAATCTTGGTACATCTATGTTAATATACACTTCGTCGCCGTCTACGCTGAATATTTATTGACAAACCACTGCAACCACTTGCTTCCCACGTGAAAGTTTTATTGCTTACCACTCTCATTAAGTACACTTAATTACGTTATAAATCAAAAATTTTGCAACATCAAAGCAAAAAACACAAACTCTCTAAATAATAATAAGGCATATTTCCTAGAAACGATACCAGCACTGAAGTAAATAACAGGATATCATAAGAGGCGTATTTTGTTTCTTTGTTTTGCTTGACGAGTAAGAGCAAGCTAATACTATAATCACAGACAAGAAAATCATTCAATGTGAGTTGGCACTATTAACAGGCGCTTCTGACCAAACATTGCTTGGAAAGTTGTAGTGATCAAAAGCGTTAAGCCGCTTGGATTTATTTAATGATAAGATAATAGACAAAATTATTAGTAGACAAACCTTAGATAAAAGAAACAAGATGGTGCATTTCATTCATAAAGTATGTTTTGTTTGGTCCCAATCATCGGAAAAGAGAAAGAAGATATTTTATGCGGATCAAAATAAGACAGACTGTAATCGAAAATCTCGTCTGGCAACGCTGCTGTTGTACGCAACTAAAAGTCTGTTGATACCAGTGGCGTATCTTATTAAAGATAAAATCATAACTAATTATAAAAAAATAATGTAATACTACTAATAATATGTAATGTAATAAATACTAACCGATATGGTGTGCAATAAACTTTATAATGGTTTAAACTTTAAAACCGATTATATTTGGTATAAGGGTATGAAGTTCAGTGGAATGTAGGTAAAAAGCTTACAAACACTATTTTTTTCAAGAATAATACATTTATTACATGTTAAATAAAATAAAAACAAGATAAATAAATCAAGATTTATTTTAAACAAATTTACGAATTCAATTTTGGGGTTTGAAAGGTTTTACAAATTGGTAAATGAGAGATTTTTAAATCAAAATTTAGATTTTTAACACTACTAAATTTATAAAAGTTATTAAATCAATAAATTTACCATACTTATTGTTTTATTTCGTGGTATTTATCTAATTTGAAATAAAACCCGTATTTGTGTATTTGACAATCTATTCAATACTGCAATATTAAATTATTACTTTCCGATCGAAGCCGGTGTTTATAAAAAGTCGGAGATAAGGAAACCACTTTTTGTGTTTTAACATATAGTGTGAACCTATATACAACATCTCCCTCCTTATTACAAAACATACCCTCCAATTTATCTTAAATTTAACTTATCTAACTTAACCTAAGTTTAACAATGATAATATAGACCGTAACGCTCAGGTTTTTTTATTTTACTCCGGCGCCTTAAATTTCGCAATTTTTCCGCATTATTTTCTGGATTATCGTCTTGCCGATTTTCACCATCACTATTTCCGTCACCATCACTTACGTTTCCGTTACTATTTCCGTCACTGTCACTCGATTTATTATCGACACTACCATTTTCTCCGTGATTTACATTAGTATTTACATTGATTTCGACATGATCATATACATTTTGTTGGGATCGGGGTATGACCGAAACAGTTTCTCCATCGTTAGTGCTATGTTTTAATTTTAACTGATCTGAGTGTCTCTTCCAAATCATACCACAATCTGTTTGTACCCTGTAAGTTCTCCGACCAAGTACTTGAATAATTAGTCCTGAACACCATGGTGAAGCCGTATTCAATCTTAAATCTTTTATCCAAACTTTATCATTTTTATCAAAATATATATCTTTTTTAGGGGTTGAAAAATTTTTAGTTTGCCGTTCTTGATTTGATTGAACAGTCAATTTTGCTGACGCCATTAATAAATCAAATTTTGTTCTCAAATCACGACCAAATAGCATTTTTGCAGGCGATTGTCCTGTAGTGGTGTGTGGTGTATTTCGAAAATGAAACAAAAATCTTTGTAGAATGAGGTGTAAATCTAAATTAGGGTTATCATGTCTAGATTTTAAAATTGCTTGTTTTAAGATTTTAACAGCACTTTCTGCTTGCCCATTTGTGGATGGATGATATGGAGCCCCTGATTTATGTTTAATACCACTTTGGAATAAAACCTTTTGAAATTCTTCTGAGGTAAATGTTGCTGCATTATCAGTGCATAATTCACTAGGCAGCCCAAATCTACAGAAAATTTCGCGAAATATTTCAAGTGTTTTACTAGTAGACATATTATCTATTATAAAGGCCTCTATCCACTTTGATGTAGCATCTTGTACCACTAAAAATTTTTTTCCACAAACAGGCCCAAAAAAATCTGCATGAAGTCTTGTCCAAACTTCTTTTGGCCAGTCCCATACTACCAAAGAATTTTTTTGTGGATTTGGGCTATATACATTACAAGCTCTGCAACTTTTAGCCGTATTTTCAATTTCCTCATTTAAGGAGGGCCACCAAAAGTACGAACGGGCCAGAGATTTCATTTTCACTATCCCCATATGTGTACTGTGTAGCTTATTTAAAACGTATTTATAAAATTTCTGAGGAATTATTAAACGATATCCCCATAACAAACAATTTTGTTCGATAGATATTTCATTTTTACGTATAAAATATGGCTTCAGTTCTTGTGAAGAACAAACTGACGGCCATCCGTTTTTTACATAAAAAATTATTTTGCTCAATAGTGAATCGGATTCGGTTTCCCTCTTAATTTGTTTAACATTCAACGGTATCTCCGTATTGTCCATAAAATTTAGAAATGCTATGTTCGGGTTTATCATTAAATTATGAATTTTGTCATCGCCTAGTATCGTATTTTTTTCTGGTAATCGCGATAAACAATCTGCTAAATTTTTAGAAGATGATACGAATCGTATTTCGTAATCAAAAGCAGACAATATGTGTGCCCATCTTTGTAGTCTATTTGCTGCAAAAATAGGTAAACCTCTTTTATCCCCAAATATCGACAAAAGTGGTTTGTGATCGGTAAATAAATAAAATTTTCGTGCATAAATGTACTGAAAAAATTTTTTTACCCCAAATATAATTGCTGCTGCTTCTTTCTCAATTTGAGAATAACTTTGTTCCGCCGAATTTAAAACGCGTGAAGCAAAAGCTATTGGTCTTTCAGAGCCATCCTCAAAAATGTGACTAAGAGTAGCTCCTACAGCAAACTTAGATGCGTCTACCATTAATTTTACTTTTTTATCGGGGTCGAAATGTGCTAGTACCGACGATGATAATAATGCCTTTTTAATAAGTTCAAAACTATTTATGCACCCGTTACACCACTGCCAATCAACTCCTTTTTTTAATAAATTATATAAAGGTTTTAAAATTTCGGAGGCATGTGGGATGAAACGAGCGTAAAAATTTACCATTCCTAAAAATGATTTTAATTCCGTAACCGTTTTAGGCGTTTCAATATTTTTAATGGCCGAAATTCTTTCTTCCGACGTATGCAATCCCTTTTTGTCAATTATATGTCCTAAATAATTTACAGAATTTTGGAATAAAACACATTTTTCTTTTTTTACTTTCAAGCCACATTCTTTTAATGTGTGAAAAACTCTTGCTAATCTTTCCAAGTGCTCCTTGTCATCCTTCCCCGTAATAAGAATATCATCTAAAAAACAAACAACTCCTGGCATAACAAACAGTTGTTCCATTATATTTTGAAAAATAGCTGGCGCTGTTGTTATTCCATAGGGCAGACGAGTATACGAATACATACCCTTGTGGGTGGTAATCGTGACAAGTTTTTGAGACTCTTCAGTCAATAAAACTTGTTGATATGCCTCTGACAAGTCGATTTTTGAGAATTTTTCGCCATTTTGTAATTGAGCAAACAAATACTCTATGCGAGGTAGAGGAAAGTGCTGAATTACTAAATGATGATTTAAAGTAATTTTAAAATCGCCACACAGCCTTATGGCTCCATTAGGTTTTAAAATTGGAACAATTGGCGTAGCCCACTCTGTAAACTGTGTAGGTACTAAAACTCCATTTGCAACTAATCTATCAATTTCATTTTCTATTTTTGGTTTGAGTGCAAAAGGAACCGGTCGTGGTTTACAAAATTTTGGCAAAGTACCCTCTTTCAATCTTAAAGAAATTTTCATTTTGTTAAAAGCCCCTAAAGTAGGTTCTAATACTTCTTTGTAATTTTCAAGTAATATTCTTAGCTTAGCCGGAAAACTTACATTTTGGCCTACTAAATTATGCAATGAGTTAGTAAAATTTATTTTACAAATTCCTAGCCCTAACATTTTCAGTCCATTCCTACCAATAAGAGGTGGTCCACCGTTTCTTATGACATAAGTTTTTAATACATAAGGTCGATTCTCAAATGTTATATTAAGATTTAAAAATCCTAAGGGTTCAAAAGTCATACCTACATAATCTTTAAGAGATAAATCATTTTTTTCCAAACAAATATTTTTAAAATGTTTAATGTAATTTTTCTCAGAAATAGCTGAATGTGCAAAACCTGAGTCAGCTTCATAATTTAAGGGAATTCTTTCTACAATCAATTTTATAAACGTTGGTTTAACATTATTAATTTGAAAATCGTCCGTACCTTGACTTAATTCCTGTAAATTAAAAATTGATTCTGTTCCTTTTTTACACTCTGAATCTT